GCATCCAGGCTACTGAACTGGCCAAGCAGCAAGGTCTGCTGAATAGAACCAAAGAGAAGGGCAAGAACCGGCGCTCCAAAGAGGAGATCCGTGAAGAGGAGGAGCAGATTATCAGAGACATCATCAAGAACAAGATAGACATCAAAGGCGGCTATCAGAAGCCCAATGTATCTGATATTCTGCTTTGTAAAATCATTCTGTTCCCTTACCATCTGTGCACCTATGTGGCATGGAACTTCTCGTGGTTTTACCGTTTCACCATTCGCGGGGAGGAGTATGGGGATGAGGAGAGACTTTACATTATCCGCAAGTACATGAAGATGTCACAGGCTCAGTTTGATAGTCTGGACAACAGCCTGATAGAGACTTTCCTCAAGCAGCAGCTCTGGATCAAAGAGAATTATGAGGTTTGAGAAGATTTCTTTCATTTTGTAGCGTTGATTCCACAAAATAGAGCAGTGATGACGTTTTTTGTAGACCAAACTGGAAGTTACCATCCCCCTGGTTCCCTCAACAAAATTCCAATAGTTTTCCATTGGATTTTGGATTATTGCAGAAAATAAGCCCAGTGACCAACAAACATTTATGATTCTTACACATTTGGTTCATCATTAAAAACTTCACAAATGAAAGCAACTTTTATTACATTTTGAAGCCTAAATACAATCTGCAGAAGTATATAGCTGAACTATTGATCTATTACATTATGACCATCTACCTAATAACCTTTAGCCCGCAAAACATCGGCCATGTGGCGAGGCATTGATCCGATGAGATGGAGATAGGTCTCCTGGGGTATCTGGTACCATAATGTCAACAGGAGGTCCTCCGGTTCCTATACATCGAGTGGTGGTGGTGATGTAGTGCGAATCCACTTTTCCAAGTCGAACCACAAATGTTTGGTTGGGTGAATTTGAAGGCCAAGGCATTAAATGAAATTCACTATCAGGTTCCTCCAACCATTTCTGGATCCTGGCAGTGTGGCATGGCACATTATCCTTTAGATAATTGCCATCAACGGCAGGGAACAGAGTTGCTATGAATGAGTGCACTTGGTCAGATACCTGACAGCTGTCAGGAATTGTGCTATTGGGATAATGAGGCCTAAATTATCCCAAGAAAACATTGCCCGCAGCATAACTGGCCTGTGTCTGCCCCACAGTGCATCCAGGTGTCATAACCTCTAGGGCTGGGTAAAAAAATATCAGTTTCTCGATTTTAATAAATTCTTATTTTTACAAAATGATATTGATTCTTAAATCCCAAGAATTGATTAGTCTAGCCTG